TATCAAGTGGATCAGGAGGATCAAGGGGATCGAGTGGATCAGGTGGATCGGGTGGATCACAGGCCGTCGGACTAAATAGGGCCGCACCAAAGCCGCCAGTTTTATTCGTTTCGTCTCACTTTTTCAGCCTCCCAAACCCGTCTTGGGGGTACCAATGTCTGGGTCTGGGAGGAAGGGGGCAGGCGCAAACCCGGTCTACAGGTGGTCTGTCGTGCACCCGCACCACCTGGCACCCCAACACAGTCAAACCATCTCGAAATGGCCGCGACAAACACCTCTGACCTCGCAGACACAACTACAGTCCCCGACAGCGTCTCAACGATGACTCGAGGGTTACGCTCGCCAGATTGCTACTGCGCCGGGCATAAGAAAGGGGTTGATATCAGCGCTTGTGTGAATTGTGTGTGTGTGTGTGTGTGTGTTGATTGTGTATGCTATTGTGCTGGTGTGTATGAACGCAAACGTTCGGTCAGCGCCGTATGTGCGTGTATGTATGTATGTCTGTGTTTGTGTGTGTGTATGTGTGTGTGTGTGAGAGAGAGAGAGAGAGTGAAAGAGAGAAGGAGAAGGAGAAAGAAGGGATTTGTATGAATGCCTTTGTTTTTGCGCACTTTAATTTGACGGTTCGCATAAAACTGGACTCCAAGTAGCACGAAAAAGGAGTTGTACCTCCACCCCAGCCCATGCAGATGTCGAGAGGTGCATGGGAGCAGTGACCAACTCGTGTGAGTGTGTGCTGAACTGCTTCTCCAGCCAGTCTCGACTAGACGTCTTGACACAACGATCTGGCCAGGATCACACAAAAGCCAGGCTTGGCAAGGTGCAGGGGAATTGTTGATGCGGCCCACGAGGCCGATAAGTCAGACCACAAACTTGCCTGACCCTGCGACCCGGTAGGTGGGACTCGAAGTTGGGACCGTGCGAGGTGCAGCAAAAAAGATTTGATTTGAACCTGTCATGGGATATCATCTCGTGTATATGTTCTAATGGCAATCACGAAAACCTGGTTATAAAACGAAAAATAAACAGTCTAGTCGATTTCTACAGCAAATACAATTTTGCCTTATCGACAACCCCAACACCGAATATGATTTTGGAAAATGCCTGGCCTTGCTTGAAATTCACACCTGCCCTCGGAACCAAGGGCAGTCATGGGAGTGTGGCGTATTGGCTAACGTGCCGAGATTATATGCTGTACTGTCATGGCTCGAGTTCTGTTGGGGCGAGGTCGAACCTGCAGTCCACTTCTCCCAGAAGAAGAATTCCTTTTGGTAAAACAAACATATGGTAACATATGAAAACATATGTTATATTTATATGGATGTGGGGAAATTCAAGTACCAATCACCTTGTCACCTGAAACGAAATAGGGTGAATACATCTCACATAGAGAATCTCAGGCCGACTTCTGTCCCAAGCATGCTTCGTCACTCTGACAGGACTGAAAACTTGACACCACCAGGGACTCATTGAACCCCGAGTTGGACTGTAAACGAGGAAGACAAATGCAGAGGCGCATGCACTGCCCCATCCACTAGACATAGTCACTGCCAGGAGATGCTGGGCAACGCTTGGGATTCGAACCTTCTCTGCAGGATCCAAGTCTGTGGAAATTCCATCCAACGCAATATCATCTCTAATGGTGTATTCTATCATTTGATGGTTCAATTTGAGCCAGTTTGGCCAATGCAATCCTAGGCAACCGAGAATATGATGCCTCAGACGACGTGGTTGACAAGATCCACAAAGGGTCTACTCAAAACTACGAGGGGAGGATGAGTGTTGTGTGTGCTGTTGTGTGCTGATTCCGAATCAGTGATCGACTCTCTATAACATCACAGGCAGTGGGATGAGCAAACATGCTTTCGGGAGTTGTGCAGGTAGAAGCAATTTCGATGCGTTCCAGCCCCGACTTCAGCTGGCCGGCCGGGCTTCAATGGTATCTCCTCTCTTTCTCTCTTTTGGTATCTGCCAGCAAGAGATTGGCATTTTGACCTCTGATCCACTCATCCCGTCCCACTCGTCTAGGATCCCGTCGAAAGTCGTTGAAAATCGCTGGGAAAAGGCCAAATATGCACCCAGTTTGAATGAGAGAACATGACACGCAGATTGCTACAGCAAGTGCAAACTACATTCTCATCTTATTTCAGCACTCACGACGACTTTTAGCGCCTGTATTGTTCGGAATGAGGTAGTCTTTAACGGAACAGCTTGAAATCGAGACTGACCCCATGAAAGACCCCGACATTTTCACACAAAGTATGACCAGAAAGCAATTATCAAGAGCCCGATTACTGCGGGTATGCATCAGGATTATGTTGTGCTACAGGAATTGACAGCAACGCTACCCTGGATGCTAATGTGCTCGGACTCCAAGAGTTTGACCATAAGTGCTAAGATATCCAAATAACGACCATTCAATAAAGCAGATGCTCATATTACAAATATTCACAGTGGATACGATTCAATATTACTAGCAACACTAGAATAAGAATAGTCTTTAGTTTATACTTAATAGGAGCATAAATGAGGGGTATTGGAA